CGTGTAGCCTATGGGTGGGCAAACGCTGCAAGGAGCCCTCTCCCCCAGCACGGGACCCTGCACCCCGGCTCCCTCTGGCCCACCCCTCACCCCTCTACAGGGCAAAGAAACCGCCCACACCGGGACAGGAGTATGGGGGCTGCCCAGAGGGGTCTGCAGGTGGGACAGCAGCTCTTACCAACAGCCAAGCCTGGGTCACTGTTCATGGTCTGCACGATCTCCATGCCCTGTGGGGGACAGCTGGGTGAGGGGCGTCCCCAGCAGCCCTGGGGACCTCCTGGTCCCCCTCTGCTCCCACCCCAGCAGCGCAGTCCCCAAAAACATGGGGGGCAGCACCCACACCTGGTTGAGGACAACCCAGTTGGGATCGATCTGGGCGTCCCCCTCGGGGTCGAGGATGACGGTCTGGTAGGCTCGGAAGTCGGTCAGCGTCACCTCGGCACTCTCGGGACACACGTCCAGCTGGTCCACCACCGTGTCATTGTCAAAGTCCTCCTCGCACACGTCACCCACGCCATTCCCTGGGGACACAAACCCCGTCAGGGCCAGGCCGAGCCCAGGCGGCTTTGCCTCCGCCCGCCCACCCCGCACGCACCATCCGAGTCCTTCTGGTTGGGGTTGGGGATGAGGCGGCAGTTGTCTGGCCCAGGTGCCGTGTAATCTGGGATGCCATCGTTGTCATCATCGTTGTCACAGTCATCCCCCAGCCCGTCGTTGTCCGAGTCCAGCTGGGAGCTGTTGGGGATCTCGGCACAGTTGTCCTTGGTGTCCTGATGCCCGTCCCCATCGCTGGCAGGAAGAACGGGGTCAGAGCAGCGACACAAACCGGGGACTCGGCACCATGCCCAAGCACCCTTGCTGACCCCAAAAACTCCAATTGTCCCTAGAGCTGGGAGCTCTGCCCCCGGGGCTGGGACGGGGAGGTGACCCTGCAGCAGTGCAGTCCCCACCTGTCCTCATTGGTGTCACAGATGTCTCCTACCAGGTCGCTGTCCATATCTGTCTGGAGGAGACCAGAGCCCTAGTTCAGTGGACGCGCCGGGGCCGAGTCGTGCTGGAGGACCCCCTGATCTCCCCGCCAGGCAGGGTC